CCGGGTCCGGTCGTTTAGACACTGCCTTTTAATTAATACCTGTTCGATGCTTATTCAGGCCTGCTGCCTATGGACACCATCTACTGTTGTTCACCACCTACATGGTGTATATAGCGTAGTGGCGCCATCTATCGGCGGAAAAAAATCGGCTTTTATTCCTAACCATGCTCTCTATCCTTGAGCCATAAATTAATATATAGTGACTTACGATTCTCAATTGACTGGTCTTCTCATAGGAAAAGTAGCTAAATATTGTTTCCAGAATTTCTGGTGGAAGTCGTAACACAGCACAAGTTGAATTATCGCGATCTAAATCATTCATCACTAATCTTTAAAAATATTAAACGCACGGCTAATTCTTCTTTCCTTTTCGGTTTTCACATTTGTTTTCAGTCATCACAAAACAGGATGTGGCGTTGCATGATATAGACGCGATTATGTTAGACTGACATCATGGGCAAGAGGAGGTGCGGAAAATGTTCACATTTACGCGGTGTGGTGGAAATCTATAAAGTAAATCGTGATAAAAATAAAAGAAACCAAATTTACATCAAAATCATACACCGATATCGTAGCTAAGAAAATATATTTCAAGTTTATAACAGAGCATATAAATCACCAGGTGATTTATATGCTCTGTTTATAAGCACCGTTATTTACAAGGTACTTCTTTCAATGTTGTTTTTGGGACATTTCCGGTAGGAGTTTCCAAGGATTACGGGAAAATTCATTATCTCCACTGTACAATATATCTACCTACTTGTGCAGTTCTTTCGTCTAACATCAATGACAATATTTATTCTTTACTCTGCTTGAAGAAAAGCCTAGTTCATGAACGTAGCTGGTCACAATATCTCTATCTGTATTAACATGCAGTTTCTATAGTTGTAGTCTAAATTAAGGTTGTCTTATCAAATAAAATGTCGTTCTATAAACCACCGGCATTTTACTATCCGATAAGTATGGTCCTTGCGTTTGGCGGTGGCTCATTACTGCTAAGGTTAGTTAACTTAGCGGCTCAGGGATAGAGAAGATGTCCAGCCCTAACTTAGCGTTAATCCACGTACAAATAACCCCAGGGGGCGGCACTCCCTACAAAATAGGGTAGGTATGTGCCACTTGAGAGATGGAATTTGGGGGTGCTCCTGTACTAACAGCGGGATCTCCGGAACTAGTACTAGTAGGCACAGGCACTTGAAGCGTTTCAACTGTAAACACACGCCGCCGCCATTGCGCGCACACTGACACATTAATATAATATATAACTATATATTTATGTGTCAGTGTGCGCGCAATGGCGGCGGCGTGTGTTTACAGTTGAAACGCTTCAAGTGCCTGTGGTACTAGGGGTCCCGGAACGTGCGGAAAAAAGTAGTACATATGCGCAGCGACGGGAAATATGTGAAAAGGGGGGTCTCCTGTGCGTAAAAAAAGAGAACCTATACTCCGTGATGGGAAATATGTGAAAAAGGGGGTTTCCGGTGCAAAAATTTTTAGGGGAAAAGGGGGGGGGGTCATATAAACCACGGCACATACCAGTACCTACCACACAATATATAGGGAGTGCCCCCCACTGTTAATCCCTTTCTGTGGTAGTTCACTCCGGGTCGCATCGGTTTTATTTGGCTGATAATACGTGTTACGTGCCGCGCTGCATAACAACTTAGATATTACCTTCCAATCCCCTGCAGCGGCGCCGTCAAGTGTAGTGCCTAGTGGTAGTTGTGGCTATATTACACAGAGAAAAAGAATCCTGGCATTGGTACAAAATACTATAGATGCACACATACACACATTTCACAGTACACATATATAGCAATGGCATGTAGATTGACACGTACACATGCGAAAATGTCAAAATTGCAGCACTTTCTTACTAAGCACTATTTTATAAGGTCTTATATCACAACACATATTGGTTAGAGCTGCCTTTCGGTCATGCCAGACAGACATGTCAGTTGCCTAAAATCTCCAATGGCTCTTGTTATAACTACATTGATATTGTCAGTGTCACAATGATGTAAAAATTTCTATAGTGGTCACAGTAGCAGTAAAATTCGTATTTTTAAAATAATTGACAGGGATCTGTTTATCGTCGGTCCACCATACAAGGGAGACGAAAGACTAGATGGCAGGACTGTTGTCATCACTGGAGCTAGCTCAGGAATTGGCAAGGAGACTGCAAGAGCACTAGCCAAAAGAGGTATAATCTATATGAACTGATCGATCTTGGTACGCTATTACTGTAATTGTAAATATCATACATGGTTCGCCCCGGGGTTTCAGAAGGCACACCAATTATGGAAGAATGAGGAAGGGTCCAGAAGGGATAATGGTTTTGGATCTGGTAATTTTTGTAAAGGTGGAAGGATCATCATGGGCTGCAGAAATGTTGAAGAAGGATTGAAAGTGAGAGAGGAGATAATCAAGGAGGCTAGAAATCCAAAAGTTGTGGTTCGGAAGTTGGACCTAGCGTCTCTGAAGTCCATACGTGAATTTGCTGAGAAGATTAAAGAAAGTAGGTGAAAATGGTATAGTAAATATAGTAGAAAATATAGTATCTATCATTACGTATTGCCTAGCACTATCCACAGTGTAAAGTGATCAGAAATTTAAAGGCGCAGCTAATATTTAGACATTTCTTTTTGCGATGAACATAGTGATTTGTCAGTCACGTTCAGGGTTCTCCAAGCTTTTTCATTATAGCATGGGGGTGCTGTTCAGTGCTAGGGGGGTCCGGGGGCATGCATGCATGCCCCCCCGGAAATTTGTTGAATTGTAGAAGCTCTGAGATGCAATCTGGGACACTCTGTGTGTAAATTTGAAGCACTGCATGGGGGGTGAAACATTTCTTGATGAGCTAGAAAACACTCGGATTTGAAGTATGAAAATGAACATTATTGTGCCAGCTAGCCATCCCAGTTGGTTGGGATTGATTGTCAGTTCAGATGCAAAGTATTGAAAGCTAAAGGTTATACACCATAGATTAATTGGGTACTATAACGCGTATATAAGATAGCCGAGTCGGTTTAGAGTTAGTGTTAGGGTTAGGGTTAGGGATAGGGTGACTGTTTGTACTTGTGTGTGGGACTGCGTTACCCGTAGCCTCGAGACATTAAGATACGGCTGCAGCGCATGCGTAGTGTAACTGCCGTACCCGTAGCCTCGAGACATTAAGATACGGCTGCAGCGCATGCGTAGTGTAACTGCCGTACCCGTAGCCTCGAGACATTAAGATACGGCTGCAGCGCATGCGTAGTGTAACTGCCGTACCCGTAGCCTCGAGACATTAAGATACGGCTGCAGCGCATGCGTAGTGTAACTGCCGTACCCGTAGCCTCGAGACATTAAGATACGGCTGCAGCGCATGCGTAGTGTAACTGCCGTACCCGTAGCCTCGAGACATTAAGATACGGCTGCAGCGCATGCGTAGTGTAACTGCCGTACCCGTAGCCTCGAGACATTAAGATACGGCTGCAGCGCATGCGTAGTGTAACTGCCGTACCCGTAGCCTCGAGACATTAAGATACGGCTGCAGCGCATGCGTAGTGTAACTGCCGTACCCGTAGCCTCGAGACATTAAGATACGGCTGCCGTACCCATAGCCTCTTCGTATAAACAACGTGTATTAATTGTTTGAACTTATTGTGTATACACGAGCATGGCGGCTATGATATTTAGAGTGGCGGGTGCATTTTAGGATGGCGGGGCTCGACGATAGCCTGGCGGGCCGCCAGGCTATAAGTGCTCTTGGAGAACCCTGACGTTAATACCCCATAGAATGTTGCTGAGAAAGCAAGTACAACAGTGTGTTAATATATCTGTAGATATATAACATTCCCTTTTAGCATGCATTCACGTTAATTGACATTAACATATTTTACCATGCAGTCAGTGTTTGACACAATATAGCGCATTTGCAGCCTAAACTATAGATCTTGCATAGCAATTTTGAACATGTATTTATGTTTATTCCATTATTAGCTCATCTGACATAGTCAGATGCAGCTTGTAGAATCGCATGATCGTGCGTCCGTCCGTGCGTCCGTCAACAGTTG